GTTTAAATGGAACAACAAGTTATACAAGAAACTGCTTGATTGGAAATGGAAGCCATTAGGGTTTGTTTTCTTTCTCTTAAAAAAGATAGAGATATTGTTAGTGGTAGAACAATACCAAAATCAAGACCACATGTATCAATCACTGTTGTCAGAGAAAACACAAAATTATTTGGAGTATGAAGAAAAGGAACTCTTTACATCATTTCATTGATGTTAACCTTCAGCAGGATTCAATACAGAAACAAACCCAACAGAAGGAGGAAAGTGAAAAATTGTCAGCTGTCACTGGAATACAGGTAATAAAGATTCAATAATAAATTCTTCTTCTTTCTGGTGAAATGGGAAAAGGCTTCTCAAATTTAGTGTGGGAGGATTTCTTATCATTTTAAAAGTATAGTTATGTATGGGGGAACTTTTCAAAACTTGATGGACATGATTTTCATGAAGGTTTACACTCAGACTTCCATACTTTTTGCATTTACAAAGACACTCTTTTGACAGAAGAACAAATCTGGGCACACCACGACCTCTTCATAAGACGATACAATATTGATGCTGATCCTGTCTTACGAAATTGAGATCACCTGATTGAATTTATCAAAATTTGTTCCAGATACTGAAGATTGAGAAGTTAATATGTAATAATTTTTTTTTAAATTGTGACATGTCAGAGAAGAATAAAGGAGAAATATGAAAAGTGTTCCAAACTTGTCTCAGTAGTTGCAAAACAAGAGTTCTGAGAGATGTTAAAGTGTAAGTATGAAAAAGTGTTCCAGACTTGTCCCAAAACACTTTTTATCCTTGGTATTTGCCTTATCTAAGAACTCTCATTTTACAACTATTAAGAGTAACATGGATGTGCTCAACAGATGGGAGATATCTGTAAGCCAAACTAGCAGAGGTAGTTTAGAAACAAAACGGAGGCAAATATGGGCCTGACTCCCTTGAGTACATATGAGTGTTATGAAGTTTTGACTGTAAGGACAAAATACCAACAAAACACTAAAATTGAAAGAAATGCAGGCTCAGAACCTGCGTAACAAGAGGCAACCTTGTAATAAAAGACCATACAGTCTCTTGTACATAGTTTGGTTCAACAATGTCCTGTTCTTGGGTGGGCATGCACAAACGAACATCATTGAATCAAGATTATAAATTCACATAACTGTGAACACTTCAAATTTAAACCTAACAATCCCACATTTGTAAAAGTATGTAGTATGTTGTATTTACCTGGCATGTGTTCCACCTGATCTTCACTTTCAAAGTTCTCACCATCCTCATCAGTTTGATCCCAGCACCAAGCCCCTGCTTCCAGTGCTGTATGATCAGCCTCATTTGATGAACCTTTTGCAACCCTCTTTTTCTTGTGTGACCCACTGGGAGATAACGATCTAAAATCTAGGTAGTGGCTCAGCAAATTTCCGCTTAGTTTAACCTGTTGGAACTCCCCTGAAAGTAGGATGCCTTCACTTGCACTGTGGAACACAATGTTGGTCTCTTCCTTGACTTTGTTGAGAACATGTTCTATTTCTTCACAGGTGTGGTTTCTTAAAACTTTATCATCAATCCAAGCTGCTACCCGTTGAAAGATCTACAAAAGAATAACATATGTTTATAAACAGAAAAATGTAATGCGCACTTAAAATCTATCAATAGCATCTAAGAAATCATGAATTCTGATGTTTCTGACAAATTCACTTCAAGCCTAATGCTTGCACTAATTTTATTGGAGCCCTCACCAAATTCTTACCATTCAAATGTGGGTATCCTTTGTATTTCCCTGCCCTAGAAATTATTTGCTAACAAGCCTACATCTTGAAAGTGAGGTTCAGGTTTGGCAGAGGAGGAGGGTGTTGAAATTGGCTATTCTGACATATTGAGACAGGAATAAGAAGAATGGCTATTAATCTCAACTTACTTTAGGGGCATTTGCTATTTCAGTCTTCATTCTCTCAGACAACAATTCAACCTGTAGAGGTACATTATCAGGACTGAGATACTGCCTCTTTTTTACCACAGATTCAGCAACTGAAAAAAAATTAAAAGAAAAAAGTTAAAAAAAAAGAGGGGGTCAATCACCTGCTAATGTCTAGTCTCTTGATCTATCCCAGTGATAAGTTGGTATTCATTGTAGGCAGCTTATTTAGCTAAGTAACATAAAGAGATTGTCAGCTTGCTAAAAGACTCTTAAGAATTCAAAAATAATTATGAAAAATGCAAAAAAACTCTTTGGAATAATGAGAAATCTAGGTCCAGTTATTTGGCTTCCACCCTCGGTGGATGTCATTTAAATTCTCCAGAAAAAAGCTGAATAATCATGTATTGACTAAAATTTTAAAGAGGAGAATTTTCATACTTGTTTGCTCAATATGAGCTCATCAGTCATTCCTGACTAACTCAATTATGGCAGCTGGGGTATTAGTTTACAAGAAGCTTTAAAGATAAGAAACATGTTAATCAAATTGTCTTACATGATGCATGACTACACACTTATTATAACTGGTAGTCTTTCTCAAAAATCTCTCCCTTTATGGTTATGGATAAACAAAATGTTCCAATACCTAACCACATATACATTTATGTTTAAACTGATTTTTCTATCAAATCATGGTGATCATGTGAGTTCATGGTCACAGGTCAGTCCCAACCCTAACACTAAGCAATAAGTCTGAGCAACATGATTCTCAGATATGACTGATGGTATCACAATCACATTACAATATAATTATGATGGTAAGCATAGCTAGTTCTCACTTATAAAAAATACCAGTTGTCAGATTTGACAAGAGTGATGAGCCCTAAGGATTGCTCACAGAAAATTGGTTCTGCAGGTCTTTCTTTATGAGCCTCATGGTCAGGCAACCAAGGATGCTGATTGGCCAAACAACCTCACTAGGCAAAATGTTCATGAAAACAGTACTGAGAGATTGTAGGAAAATTTTGCCCTCCTAACTAACACAAGCCTATATTCCCAACTCAGGCCATTACAATCTAAAACTAACTCTGAATTAGCTAACACTCTGAATAACACCTAAAGATTCATGATCGCATCTCATAATTAATAAACCTGGCACTTGCTATATATCTTCTGTCTTATTTTGTTGTCATAACTTTTTGGAACCATACTGATATCCTCACAAAATACTAATCAAGAGGGAGACAATAAATCATGATATGATTAAAAGACCTAATCATGCATTTAAAGTGCTTGACACATTTCATATCTATCTGCTAATATGGTAATCAGAGCAAGTCGAGTTACCAGAGCTGTGATAGTCAAATTATACTGCATGGCGATTTGATTAGTAAACATAGCAATCTGATGCAAACTACAATGAAATAAATCTTAGGCATGCATTGATCACAAAACTTGAAGGTATTCCCAAAACAGCCATCAATAAACAAGCAAAATGTCTCACATAAAATGCAATTCAGTGACCAGTAAAGGTGAAAATCCTAAAGGCAAACATTGAAATTAAAAGGATATTGTAAAGCAGGACACTCACAAGCAAGAGAATTGAATGATAATTATTTTTTTTATATTCAGCCATGGTATCATTTCACCAATAACCATACAAATAGTGCTTTGAAATGTAATATGATGCGTCTAATAATTGAGAAAACTTCTAAACTCTATTTATAAATCGACCTAAAAAATGCGGATGGCTGTCTGTGCTTTCGGAAATGAGTAAATCCATAATTTTAATGGAATTTTCAAAACTATTCTGATAAAGAGAGCTTAGCACCTTAAAAGAGTGTGTGTTGAGAGATCGAGGGCCAATTATATGCTGATCAGTATCTATGAAATTAAACGTTGTGAAGATTTTAAAAGATACATATACTGTGAAGTTTATTCCTCTAGAACTGAACATGTAAACATAAAAGCTATCAATTGCACGCTTTTATGTTCAGTTGTGTGGCATGGTTCTTAAATATTTTACAATGATAATTTTTTTTAATGGATATATCGACAAATTTCTCCTTCATGAGCAAGATTGCAATCATGCTATTCATTCTTAATGAAACGATATGCCATCAACCTGCCGGAATTTTCGTTTACTTCTGGATCGACCTTTCTTTGAACAGTGCAACTACGGTATGGTGTAGAAGTTTACCTATTGAAGCAGATTCAATAACCTTTCATTCCGTCGAAGCAATTAACCTGATGTAAGGTCATATCATGCCCCTTAGTAAATTTAAAAATAACTTTACACTTAAGACAACGTTCAGTTTTAACTCAAATTATTTGAAAACACGATCCCATAAAAGCGACATCATTTCACGAGGCAAGTTTAACGAAAAGGCTTGCTTTCTCCGCTGAGCCTATCCTAAAGAGAATGACAAACTAAGTCACTGACGAATGAATTAAATATTACACATCGCTCTCATAATACCTGAACGATCCTCAAATATGATGAAAGCGAATCTATTTTCTGTGATTTGAATACATTCGATTTCTCCGCCATCATGTTTACGTCTCTGGAAATGTATCGCCAGGTTGTTTGCTGTTGTATTCGATGGGAAGCCAGTCACATATATCCCCCTCGATGCCTTGTCTTCGTCTACGACAATATCGTCTTTTTCGAGTGAGCAATTCTTGTTCTCCATTCTCATAGCCTACAAACTTCCACGAAGCAAAACACATCAAAATTTCAGACTGCTAACATTTAAAATGGAACTTAATTAGTAAGCGGAAGTTGATATTAGATAAATTGATACGACCCAAAGCAACCTGTTTTTAGACGAGAAGTGCATCAAAAGGTTTATCTTTCACAAATTAGACGAGAGTGAAAAATTCCATAATCCGCATGTTTCAAAGACAAGTTTGGTTTGCTCTAAATTCGCGCAGGCTTTATGCCTCGGTTTCGTTACTCAATACTAGTCCCACTCTTCCTATTTCCACGAAATGTGATCGATACTAAACTCTTTGTGGCGTCTGTAGGAACTTAATCAGCCTATAGAGCATTATCGCGCAAGTATTTGTTTCATTTACTACTATGGCAGAGATGAATGACCATCCAGAGTCAGTCAAATCCCAGCTAGGACATTTGAGCATCGAAAAGTTGGCGAGAACTGTAGTAATATCGAACATACCGCGAGAAATTACACAAGATGAAATTCACATATACTTCCAGAAAAGTAAACACGGCGGCGGAGGAATCGATGAAATTTGGATGGTAAAGGACGGGGAAGTGGTCATTGTCTTTGAAAACCCTGAAGGTAGTATAAAATGTAAAATTTACTTATATCTTTAGTCTCTTACATGTCTTAGTCAGCGAAAAAGTGAAAACTAAGTGTGATTACCGTCATATCACTTCCGGCTTCATTTTGTTTACTCCTTGTTTCCTACAAACTTATGAAACTTGACTTAAAGTGAGGTTGATCGAGGCATTTTGTGCAGCTTTACGTATTTTGTTGTTTCATCAACTTGAATTCGCAAGAGAACAAAAGCAGATCCGATGACCTTGAGGCAGTGTTTACCGATAGCGAAATTTACGTTTTGAGAAGTAAATTCGAGGACTTTTGAATGAGTTGGGAGCTGGTAGTTACTTTTTAAGAAGAAATAGAAAAACATTTTGAGCTCATGAGAGACATCTGGAACGCGAACGAGACCGTAAGCATTGAGCTCACAAAGAATTATGGTTTCTAAGGCCTAGTTCAAACGTCGATCTTTACATGTACCGAACCTAACGTTTCTATTAAGTACATGTAAAGATCGACGTTTGAATCAATTAGGATCGGCAGATTTGTATAGACGTTTAAATCAACTGCCGCTCTTAATTATTCGAGTCGACCCAAATTGCAATTAGGTTCGGTACATGTAAAGATCGACGTTTGAACTAGGCCTTAGACTCCGCACCTTTCTTATTATTTTATTCAAGGTGTATTAGGTTCGGCTCGTTCGGTATTTAACCTGTGATATAACGAAGATAGCTCGCTAACACCACACGCGGCCCAAGCTCACGTCTCGAGAAAAAGTAAACGATTAATTCATGAAAGCGTCACGCGTTGTGTAACTCAGTGTTAGGTTACTTGAGGAACCGTTGAGAATATTGAAACATATTATAAGTAAAGCCTTTTCTTACGCACGTTTAAAACCTCGAAATGGTCAACTCGCTAAAATGCGTTCTTTTCATCAAAATAAGCGGCCAAATGACAAGCAATACACTGTGGAAGTAAGGTGAGGTATTTTTTTTGAGAATTTGTCGTATTTTTTTATTCTTTAGAGCGGTCGTAAATATTCCCATACAAACTCTTATAATTCCGTCATGACTGTCATTGCGCAAGATGATCATAACACAGCTGGAGCTTGGGCAGCCTGTGGTGACTTAAGCGTTTTCGTTTGTTCGTTCTAAAATAAATCTCTCTTTGTGTGGTTGATACTAATTGATGTGGGAACGTCAGGATCCTTTGACTCTTTCAAGAACCAGCGATTTACGCCCTATAAGGCGTTACCTTCTCTTATAGGAACGAAATATGGTCGATTTACAACGATTTACATTTCGAAATACGAACATTTTACACGTAAAATCAAAAAAACTTACTCATATCTTGGGTGTCCGTTGTAGTTTCTGGCGATTTCTGCTGTTTTAAGCTTGCTTTCCATCACTTTTATTCCTGTCAAAAGACGAAGTTGAGGCTGCACACTCCAATTTCGACCGTTGTCCACGCAGAGGTGGTTTGCGCCCCGAAAATCCTCCCGTTCGGTATTTTTCTCAGGTTTTCTAAGATTACTGCACCCTGAGACATGCCTCAACACAAAACTCCCGTGCATGTCGCTGAAAACGAGCGTTTTCTACCTGCATTTCCAAGTCCGCATCTCTCTGGCTCTGCTCTTAATAACCACATTGAACACGGCCGCGGAGGAGATGTGGGTACAGTAGTGACCACAGTGACACCTCGCCTTAATCTATTGTTCCGATCAAGCAATCAAACAGCGAGGTGAGACTAAAACAGATAAACAATAGACAAAATTTGAATATTCTGCAGGGTTTGCTGTGAGCACTTAAGCTTGGATTATTTTCCCTAAAATGCTATCGAAGGGGAAGAGATGCGGTGAAATTGACCACGAAGCCCGAATCTTGCGGGCTTTTCCTTTTTTTCCAGAAGTTTAGCGACATCACCCAGCAAAACATTGTAGTATTGTATATTAATCTACCGCAACACTCGTGGTAGAGAGAATATTGACCTCATGCCAAAGTCTCTTCCGCGGCCGTGTCCAGTCAGGTTATCAAGGGTGTAGCCAGAGAGAAGCGAACTTGGAAATGCAGGTAGAAAACGCTCGTTTGCGTGAGTTGCTGAACAAAATATCAAACCAAACTTTGTCTGAGCTTGACATTCTTCAGTTAACGATGGCAATCAGCAAAAAGTATCCAGCTGCGGGAAACAATCTTTCCTAGCCCATTCCGAAAATATTTCGGACACAGCAGAAGGGAGGGAAATTTTACGTTTTACAATAAGAGGATTTTTGACGTGAAATTTTAAACTTTATATAACTTGTGCCGAATAAAAAAGAAACATCGAAGATATCACCCTTCTGTGGTTTCCCTGCCGAATGATCAGCACTTATTATTAAAACATTGGTGAATATGTTTAAATAGGTTACTGTACATGCTAAATTTTTATAATATTTCAAATCCATTCTTTCACTTGTTTCTTTTCTTAAATTAACTTTAGGACTGTGACAATGTGTCTATATATAACGAGGAAATATGACTGTCATCTTTGCTTTTTTTTTTTTTTTGTAGTCTTAGTTAAACAGGCAGGAGATAGAACCTGCATTTTGGGGTATTTTGTTGTCTGTTTTGTTATAAAAATTAAATTCAAGACAATGGAACATCACTATCGTCTTTTTCTTCTTTATTAGTCGCTGACGGGGTATTAAAGCGCCCTCATATGCTTGGAGGCAAAGAGGTGGATCTTAGACCATACAATACAGGGAGAATATCAGCTGACCATACCCAAGAGGTAATGATTTAAAGATAGTCCGTAAAGATAGTAGGAGGTAATTGAAAAGATATGTTTATTAACCAGTAAATGTCCATTAACTGAAATTTATTTTTACTACCATAGCCTTTGCCCTCTTCCCTCTGATCGTTTTGTTTGAACTGTTAGTGTTACACCAAACTAGGGAATAAAGCAAATGATTTTTTAGATTGATTACAGCCTCTTTATTCAACAAGATAAGCCAACGAAGGAGCCTGGGTAATGAGAAGAAGAACGTTTTCATTCAGTTTTTCATTTTCTATTCGCTCTTTTTCTCTTTATATATTTTCTATCCCCTTTTTCTTCCCTTTGTGAATCGTTTGTAGTCCTTTCGTGGCTCAGTTGCAGAATTCAACTTGAAATGACAAAAAATACAATCTCAATCGGACAAGCCTATTTCTAACATGATAATGTAAATTGGCCACCGTAAAGAGTTTCTAAAGCTGATGTTTCGAGCATTAGCTCTTCGTCATTCGCTCTGACAACACGCTAATGCTCGAAAAGTCAGCTATAGAAATTCTTCACGGTGATCAATTTACATTATCAATTCAGTTGATAAAATCAAATTATCTTGTCACACCACCAACCGACGCAGCACCGCAGTTTCTTTAGAAAGTTACCTCCTTTATTTCTGACGTGAACAGATTTTCTCGCACGTTGCCGCCTTTGTGAGTTTCGACACGATGTCACCTGGGATGTCAGAAAACCTGCTCGAAATGGTGAAGAAAAAGGTTGACGTATCATGGCAAGGCAAGGGTCATAATGGATTTGTTCTCGTCGGATCGATTAATCAACTAGAAATTGCTCATAGATATGTGCAAGAATATATTCTTCAGCGTCCAGGCCTGCTGTTTAAGGAGGAAAGAATGGTGCAAGGAAAAGATGCCTTGAAGACTCTGCAAAATTCTGCTGAAAATTTTAAGCAGGCCAGGAAAGACTCCCAGGGGATTGTTGAGGAGTGCACCTTTGAAACTGAGCCAAAGTTCTTGAAATTATTCAAAAGGGTACACAAGGAAAAGCTTGAACAAATAGAGAGGGCAAGCCGCTTGGAGATAGTTTGGGCTGAAAATGAAGCGCTAGTAACGATCAAACCTACACCTCTAACCGAAGAAACACAATATCAAGAAGGATGCAACACTTTCATTGATTTGTACCAAACCGTCCGTCAGTCCATGAAGATGAAGCGACAAGTGGTTGATGTAAAAGACATCCACGATGATGGAAAAATCAAGGAGGCGATTGTTTTCGTGGAAAGCAAACATCCCGTGGTCATTGAGAAAGAAGAAGGTCAGCTAATCGTTTACAGCGAGGAAATTCATCTGAAGAGCTCAGTGCACGCTCTAAAAAAGAAGCTTGGACTGTCAAAAATCAGTGGCGACCGCCTGAAACATGGTCAAAAGAACATACGTCATTTGCCTCACCATCATGAAGAGCCATCACCTAAGATCCTACAGCAGACTTTGACAAATAACGTAATAGTATCTTTATACCAGGGAGAAATAACTGATGAGCAAGTCGATGCCATTGTCAACCCAGCTAACGCATTGCTTCAACATTCTCAAGGTGTAGGTGGAGCAATTGTGAAGAAGCGAGGGAGTCAAATAATACATGATTCTCAGTATGTTATGTCTCATCGTAATGTTCCGCTACAACCTGGTGAAGCTGTTTACACCCGAGGTGGGCAAATGGCTTGTCATTATATAATCCATACAGTTGGGCCAGACTGGTCAGCTTATGCAGATAAGAGCGTCGCTGTGACAGTTCTTCGAAAGGCATGCATAAATTGTCTCCGACTTGCTGTGCAACTTCGGCTTTCCTCTGTAGCCCTTCCAGCCATCAGCTCAGGCAATTTTGGTATGCCAAAAGAAGTCTGTGCTGGGGCAATTTTTCGAGCGATTGAAGAGTTTAGCACAAGTATAGATGCAGAATGTAGCACTCTCCGTGACATACGCGTCGTTATCATCGATACAGAAACTACTGAGGTCTTCCGTAGAGAATTCATTAACCGTTACTACCCGAAACAAAAGTCGCAAAATGAAATGGCAACTCAGAAACGTCCATCCAGTGAGGAAGGAGAGAGCCCATTTTCCACTAACAAGGGAAGAGGTCACCCAAGGATTGATGACGACTTACTTAATGAAAAACGTAAGAGTACTCAAGATAGCTATACTGAATCAATGATACCATACCCTCGAACTTACGAATCAGTGGTTCTCATCCCATAGTTTAAGGTCTTCCCGTTAATTCTTCGTCATTTTTTAAAAGAAAATAATTATTTGCTTGTCGTCGGTAAAGTTTTGTCTCTGGACTAAAAATTTCCTTTAAAATTCCAGATCAATCGCAAGGAAGTCAAGCAACTACAAGGGGTCACCAATCTGTCGAGCCACTCTGTTCAGTATGTCACAACTCATGCCAAGAAATTGTTGAACCCCTGAAATGTGGACACACTTTCTGCCAGTCTTGTTTTCATCACCCTTCGAGTGACGTTTTCGTCTGCGGATATCAGTGGTGTGTCTGTGAGAGGTCCCAACCAATAGGAACCATGAGTTGGAGAACAGAGAAACAGTCTCTTCGTGGATATGATGATTGTTATACTATTGCCGTTACCTATAACTTTCCCTCTGGAATTCAAGGTGGGTATGAAATAAATAAATCTTATTCAGTTGTTTTTAGGGTGGAATAATGACGTTCCTGCAACTGACGTAAGGATAATAAGGAGGAAAGGTTGTGGTTATTCATCGTGGTGAATAACAATGAAAGCTAAATTTTTCGTTTGTCTCACGATGTAGTCACGTGTGATGTAGATCGCAACGTTTCGACTGCATTCTGCTAGTCTTCTTCAGGCGATGAGGTCGACTGATCCTGCGTGATCTTATAAAGCATGATGCTCTGCTGTGATTAGTTGTTTTTTTCAACAGCTCTGATTGGTGCATTTCGTTCCTGCTGTTCATTCAGTGATTTGCACCCTTGGCGGTCCGCTGTCGCACAGCTCTCCTGTTCTTGTGTTTTTCGATCGTGGGCATCCACGCTTCTGCAATTTCTATTCCACCATTCCTGTTGATGTTGTTAGGGTGAAGTCTTATGTGAATTGCCTCTTTGACCATACGCGTGTAGTAATAAGGGTCACGATCAATAAACTTTACTTCGTTCCAGAGTGGCTTGTGTCCGGTGTTGTGGGCATGCTCTGAAACGGCGGTCTCGTGAGGGCGAGTCGAATGTCTCGATCGTGCTCCTTAACTCTGTCATGCATAGGTCTTCCAGTCTCTCTGATGTACACCTTACCGCAGTCACAGGGAATCCTGTAAACTACGCCATCTTGTTTAGTCGGGTCAACAGCGTCTTTTAGTCGTACTAACTGAGATCTTAGCGTAGTTTCCGACTTGAAAACAGCGCGTACGCCTTGTTTTTGTAGGCAGCGGCGAAGCTGTTGGGACAGACCTTTGACAAAAGGTAAAACCGCAGTAGCTTTGAACTCGCTGGCGGGTTTGGCACTGTTGTTTGGTTTTCCGGTCTTGGTAAGTTTCTGCAAGAAAGAAAAAGGATAACCATTAGAAACCAGAACAGATGACAGATTTTTTTCTCCTCGGATATGACGGAAGGTTTTGTTACGAGACGTTTGGCGCGCTCGTAAAGGCACTTAACAATACCGCGTTTTACTGATTGAGGGTGGCGTGAATCATACGCTAAGTATTGATCGGTGTGCGATCAATTTACAATATTTGTGGAAATTTGCACCATGTAATTTCTCTTATATTCTTTGAATATCTTGTGTTTATTTGTTTCTCACTTCACAGGATGGCAACATCCTGCACAAGGACAACCTTACCGTGAAAGATATTTCACAGCATACCTTCCAAACAACTCTGAAGGACAAAAAGTTTGCCAGTTACTGAAAAGAGCGTTTGACGCTCAACTCCTGTTTACAATTGGTAAATACAAGGCAACGGACGAGGAGAATCTGATCGTGTGTAATGGTATTGAACACAAAATCAATCGATCAGGAGGACCAGCAAAGTAAGCACAAGTTGCCTTATAAGTTCAGTCCAAAAAAAAAATTAAAAGAAGAGAAAAGACATCTAAAACTGCGTCTAACCATATGTACAACAGAGTTTATATCAATGCTGACTCTTAAATAATTTAAGAGTCGTTTTTATCGGATAGGTATCGTAAACGCAACGTTTAATTGTGCGCTATGTGGCGACCATATTTTGGCCGCTCATAATACGTGACTTCGCTTAAATTAATGACATCGAAAGTTTTGGTTTAGAATTATTGAGGGAAGGTTGTCATTAATGTTGTGAACTTGTACTGCACGCGTTTAACTTGCGTCTAAAGGTGTAAACGAATAAAAACGCACTTTCTGTCTAAAATGTTTCGTCAATTTCCTCGGAAACTTCGATAGAATCTGAAAACTTCTCAAATTACTCTACATAACAAACATTTTTAGAGGATTATAGATGAAATTAAAAAATGATGAATAACGCGGTTGTCAAGGAAAAGTAAACAAATGAAAATATATACATTTCATTTTTTAAACAAGAGCTGACAGTTTTTCAAAGAGGCGTGATGTTTTCAACCCTAATGACTCCTTTATTTCCTCTACAGTCATGGGTATCCAGATTCCACTTACCTTGACCGAGTAAAGGAGCAGCTTGCCAAGATAGGAATTGTTGACGACGCCGACTTACAAGTATAACTCAGTAGTTAATCAATCAGTTTACCAGTTTCTTTGGAATTGAAATTATTCTTGAGTTCCGCTCTAACCAAAGACATTTTACGTAAGGGACCAGTATTATTTATCTCTTGGCGGGGGCGGGGGCAGGCAGCTGCAGGATTTTGTATGTCACGATAAAATCCCCTTCAATGGCAGTTCACTTGCAGTAAATTTTCAATTGTCCTGCACTTTATACTCTGTTGGTGACGTTTGATCCCCCTTCTGTTCCCCTTGAATACTCCTCGATCTCCCCCCATCCTTTTTAATTTTTTTTGCCGACCAAAATTTTATATCTGACGACCATTTAGGAATTGTAATTATCTGCATTTTATTTCCACTTGCTTTAGGATTTATGCTTCTAAGTAAGTTTACCTAGAAATTCTTTCAAACTGCAGCCCAATTTAAAAGCTTGTTTACGTTTGAGGCATAAAACAAATGTCACATTAATAACCAGGAAATATTTTAGCTTGCACAAGCTTTTCTGTGGATATTGATTACTTCAGAAACGTTAAATGATGCAAGGCCTTTGCAGGTTTGCAGTTACGTCAGTCGCATTTATTCATATGGTTTAAACCTTGATTGCCTAGGTGTACTGAAAAAGGCTACAAACGATAGTAACTAAAAAAATTAATACATAAAATAGCTGTTATCATGTAACTGAAGTTACATTTATATCCAATGATCTTGCGTCGTGGCTTTGGTCTGTTACTTCATTATTATACAAATGACGCGCAAAAAATCACTGGTGTAATCATCAATTAATTCTAAAAAGAGAAAGTGAGGGGACAGCGGGAGAAAATCTTGAAGTTGCCTGCGATATTTCGCCTCCCCTAAAGTTATATTTAATTTTTCACAAACTCACATTTCCTTGAGCGTCTGCACGTTGAATTCTCGGTTTTCCGATATCCCTTAGTGTATATCCCTTTGTGTATATCCCTAAGTATATATCCCTTACTGTAAAGGAGTGGTCGGTCGATCACTCTTATGTTAATTCTACCAGAATATAAAATTTAAAAGTTCGAAAGACTTTCTATAACTAACTTTACCGGGTTAAAATTTCTCGCCGATGGCTGAACCAGGAGCCTTTCTTTGACCCCACATTTTCTTCCTTAAGCCGATAGGAATGATGTAACTAATAACTACCCAATTGATTTGGGCTAATGTACAAACTTATTGGAATTAAAAACCGTAAAATTTGACGCGGCAAATCACAGCCTTAACTACTACTGTTCAGGGACCAATCCACCTGGGGGGGGGAAGGAGTGTCAGGGCTAAGGGAGAAGGATCAGTAGTCCCAAAAGATTATAACCTGTTAACAGTCTGTTGGTCGTCGCCAGCAGAGTTAAAAAAAAAAAAAGAGGACAATAGAATACTGACTTCCAATTAACTGCTAGTGAGGAGGGGGAGATCAGATAAATTTGATCATAGCGCTACCAAAATAAAAATAGAATATTCCAAAAATTCCAAATAAAACTTTAAGCGGAAAACTACACATCTGTATTGTTGATGTTATTGTTGCTCTATGTTCGTTTGCTAGTTACAAAAGCTCGCTGTAATTTGTTTTCACTTGCGTTCAATTTCCTTCCCAGCTAACTCTTGTGTGAAGCTCGTTTGAGCGCTGTGATTTAAAATTCATAGATGATCTTTGTCTTCCCCTTATTTCGCTTTCCATCAAGCTTCACAGGAGAGAACATTTATTTTGATACCGTTGTTTTTTTACCATTGTAAAGTTTGTCACTCAAGCATAGTCAGGTTCTTTTTGGGGGGAGAGGTTGATGGTTTATGGGTTTCTTTTAAAATCCCCTTTTTTAACAAAACCAGCGAGCAACAAGGTTGTACGTACGCTGATAGCTTCATTTATTAACCAAAAAGGCAGAAAACTGTCATTTTGCTTTCCTGCATTGGCAAATTTTGACGCTTTGTCTATCATTTCCTGGGAAAAGGAAACTGGATTCTACACGATTTTCGGGTATTCAATGCGGCATCCTCTGTGTTAGAACAATAAAAGATTGCAAAAATTAAGTATACCTTCTTTGTTAGTTTTTTTACTTCCTACAAATGGATAACGTATTAAAATTTGTTGTTAAAAATACTTTTATTTAATGATATCACCTCTTCGTCGATGCCCGTCCCAGGATAGCACTGTCGCTTTGGTCGATGAGGTGTGTGTCCAAGAAAACTCATGCGGGAATTCAGGACCTGTTCACGATATTTTTGTGCACTCATGGTGAGTGATAACTAAAAGTTTTTTCGACGATGTCAAAAGAGAGTTAGAATGCCCTTTTTGCCAAGAACAGTTTAATGAAACTAGGGAGCTGAAAATACTGAATAATCTTTATACTTTCTGCAAATCGTCTCTGGAAGATTTGCTCCATCAACAGGCCAGAGGAAAACTGAGTTGTCTGACATGTCGTCAAATCACTGGATGTCGTGACAAAAACTCTTTGGAGAGAAATTGCTTCCCAAGAAGAAATTCATTCACTGACAACAGAGAGTGACAGTTACCAAAAGGCAGTGATGCATTCATTAATCTTTACCAGGATTTATGTCCTAAGATGCAGCGAGAAAAATTGAATTAAACTTTTTGGACGCCCGGGGACAAGTCACCAAGGACGTATGCTTCATGGAATATGAAAATAATACGGTCATTGAGGTGGATGAAAACAACCTAGTCGTCTTTGTGGAAGAAAAGAATATTCCTGTTACAGTGCAGGTCTTGAAGGAAACCCTTGGGCTACTGCCGGGTGACCGCAAAGGTACAAGGCGTGGTCAGAGAAATACAAAAAGCAACAACAGTTCCCAGAATAAACCCTCAGCACAAGTACTCAGCCAAAGTCCGATAAATCAAGTGAAGCTCTACTTTTACCAGAGTGATATTTGCGCACAAGTATTGTTTGGAGAAGTGGAAGAATTCAGCTCCAGCGTTGAATCCGAATTCAGTACTCTTCGTGAAATTCGCATCGTCACGCATTATTGACGACGAAACAGTCAACGTCTTTCATGAAGAGTTTTTGAAACGTTACACCTCTCAAGTGACGACTCAAACAGACGCAGTACACAACAAGGGAGAGCCATATAAGCTCTCCAACATTAGCTGCAATGTCAACAAGCTGCCGTTGCCATCAGAAAAAAGGAGCGGAAATTCACACGAAGGCCATACGAAGGAAAATAACGAAGCTAAATTTCCACAGGGAGACCAACCAAGCATGGGCAATAACAATCCACGTGGCTAGATTTCGAAAGCCTTTGAAGAAGATAACAAGAGTGAATTACATACCCCAACGGGCATTGAAGCATCAAACATAGAAGTTCCAACGTATGGCATTGAAAGTGAACAAGGCGCCAATGCTCCAAAAAGCTCCAAAGAAGAAGGCGGGAACACCACATCTAAACCATACTTTGGTAGAGGGGAAGGCGTTCTTGCTATTCGTTTTCCGGATGAACCGGGTGAGAAATTATAACCAAAGGCAGAAGCTAATACCCGGAACATTGAGCATGACACCAACGTCGATAATGTTAAGATAGGAAGAAGGGATCAATATCAGTGTCTGGGCAACTGCCACCTAACCCTCCCCTAACCCAACATCAACCTTAACTTGTTGTCAATTGACTGTTGTTGAGTTAGGGGAGGGGTAGGTGGGCAGTTGCCCCGATATTGATATTGATCCGAAAGAAGTATCACTTATGATAATACTGATGCATTTCCACTTGGTATGGCTGTGACGGAAGAAGGCAAACGTCTTGCTGAAATACAAGCTACTGAAGCAGTTAGTGATGATTCGAATGCCAATCTTTTTTTTTCTTTTTCTTTTTTTTTTTTACCATAGGTCCGGCACCACTCCTCAAGATGATTAAACAGCATGAGATGAGCTTTCCAGACTGCACCCTATGTATGAATCAGCACCAAAATCCTGTTTACAGAATTCTATGTGGTCATAACTTTTGTAACTACTGTATCAGCTGTGTCATAGAGGAGATAGGTTTTTGTCCACAGTGTTCACGGGAGAAACGGTTTCCAGGAAACCAGCCTCCTGGATACATGACTTGGAGAACTGAGTCACTTAAATCGTTACCAGGCTACGAGGGGTGTAAAACCATTGTCATAACATGTAATTTCTGACGGTTGAGTGACTAGGAACGAATTAGTCAGAAATTACTATTCTGATGGCACGATTGAGAGGTTTTAGTATTCTCAGGGGAGAGTTTTGAGTATTTAATGTTTTAGCGGGGAATATTAATCATTCTAGCTCAGTCAGTCTTTCTGTTTGCTGTTGTCAATTTAGTTAAATTTTTTCTATGGAGTTATGGGTTTGTTTGTACCTCTTTCCCGAGGTTCCGTGCCACTGCATTAGATGGGGAATACGTTTCCACATATTTTTTGGCCACATCTGAAGAGTGGTTTTTTAGTGGTTTTTCGTATCTGGTGTGGTACACTTAATTTTTCAAGCTTTTCAAGTTAGACTTGCTAGCATATTCTATGTTGTAATAAGTATATGTAATAAGTATATGTTACGACACATTGTTGTTGTCGGATGACTGACTGACCATTCCTCAATAAACTATTTCACATTGAATGTTTCGTGATAGTGTAGTCAGAATCTTTAACTTTCGAGGAGAAATTCAAGGTAGCGTTGATTTAGAAACTTTTTGAGGGTAGGTTTGTTGCTAACGATTATTTTCTATATATATACATACTTACATACGCATAAATTATGCACCGAAAGCGAAGTTTGAATTGTTGAATTATTCCCGCCAAGAAGTAGTTGACTGAATTAATTACAAATGCCACATATTACAGTTTTTAACTCCATTTTACTTTAATTCGCAATTTCAGCGTAATTCCTATTTGTCATTATTACTAGCTAGTTGTAGTTAACAGGTGAAGAGTCGCGTGCAATGAATACACACTTGATAAACTATTATTTTCATTAAAGGGGGTAAGTTTCTAAAGAAACTGTGGTGCTGCGTCGGTGGGAAAGTATAACAGGGTAACAGCTCCCAGTTGGCTTGTTAGCTCAATTGGTAGAGCGCTGCACCGGTATCGCAGAGGTCATGGGTTCAAATCCCGTACGGGCCTGAAATTTTTTTCAGGTCCTACTTACAACTACTAGTTTCAGTAGTGTTCTTAGCTGCGAGGATCTTCTAATTTCATCTTTCCACCGCAGTGCAAATATGTGAATTTTCATATATCTAAAATCTTCATTCACTCGGATGTTTATTTGTACCCAATTCATTGACCAGCTCCCAGTTGGCTTGTTAGCTCAATTGGTAGAGCGCTGCACCGGTATCGCAGAGGTCATGGGTTCAAATCCCGTACGGGCCTGAAATTTTTTTCAGGTCCTACTTACAACTACTAGTTTCAGTAGTGTTCTTAGCTGCGAGGATCTTCTAATTTCATCTTTCCACCGCAGTGCAAATATGTGAATTTTCATATATCTAAAATCTTCATTCACTCGGATGTTTATTTGTACCCAATTCATTGACCAGCTCCCAGTTGGCTTGTTAGCTCAATTGGTAGAGCGCTGCACCGGTATCGCAGAGGTCATGGGTTCAAATCCCGTACGGGCCTGAAATTTTTTTCAGGTCCTACTTACAACTACTAGTTTCAGTAGTGTTCTTAGCTGCGAGGATCTTCTAATTTCAGGGTAATTGAATGTTAACAACTGAGTTGATAACGTAAATTGGCCACCGTAAAGAGTTAAAAGCTGACGTTTCGAGCGTTAGCCCTTCGTCAGAGCGATTGGAGGAACTGTGGGTTGTGTGTGGGTTTATATGCAGGGAGATGATTAATTTATTAATCAGGATGATGATTTATCAGGGAGAAGATGAATCGATTTAATGAGATTGATTAATTTCCCTAATCATTCTATATTCCATATGGAAGTTTGCGGCCTTTCCCTACATCTAGGCAGGTCGGAAAGCCGCAAAAGCAAAAATTTTTCTTTTAAATCGGCACTCTTAATCCCCACGGTATCAACAAGCGCTTTTCATTCAACTAATTTATTCTTGTTTTCTCGTCACCATATTCCCACCAATAGCGTAGCTCCAATTTCTGCATATAAACCCACACACAACCCACAATTCCTCCGATCGCTCTGACAGCCTTTAAACTCTTTACGGTGGCCAATTTACGTTATTAACTCAGTTGTTAACACTAAATTACCTTGTTGTTATCATTAGTGTTATTATTATTATTATTATTATTATTATTATTATTATTATTAGCTGTAGTAGTAGTAATTAGAAATAGTAGCATTTATTATTACTAGTATTAGTGTCAGTATTATTATTACTATCACAATCAGAATTATTTTTATTTTTATTTTATTATTCTCAATATCATCATTTTTGTGGAATTCTAGGGGGATCGTCTTAATATGGGAACTAAGTTCTTCTTTGGTGGGAGTACTTTTTTCTTCACTAAAAAAAGGTTTTTACATTTTCTTGTTCTAGGTCCAGACCACGCTAATCCAGGAGAGCGTTTCAGTGAACTTTTCTGCTCAGCCTACCTTCCAAACAATCTCACCGAAGTAGAGGTGTGTAACCTGTTGAGAAGGGCCTTTCATGAACGTCTGATATTTACTCTTAGAAGAAGTCCTACTATTGGCGAGGATAACAAGATTGTGTTGAACGGCATCGAACTGAAAACAAGTCTAACTGGTGGTCCAGCCAAGTAAGTTAGCTTTTCCAACTGTAAAACTTAATGACCTACGCGTACTAAACGTATATTTCTGAAACAAGCTCGTTCTTGGTTTCGGGAACACATAATTCATCTCTCGAAATATCCGCTCTATTTTTTTAATATTTCACGTTCTAGATAGGTAATACATACCTCTACTGCCGAAAGAGACCTTCATATTAATTTTTAGTTTCCCAGTAATTTCGGATGTTAGATCTGAGACATTGGCGATGTCCTCTACCTGCTCTTTTTCCTTACTCTGACTACCAATATGCTTATGATGATGTATTCCACGTTACAAGAATTTCTAAGCATTTAGTGCCACATCAAACGATATCCTCATATTAATTTTTGTCTTTATTTTGACCATATGTCTGTTTGACTGTACGCTGCTATCGTAAGAATTCACTCATGATCTGTCAACCACAAGAATGAAGGGTTAAATTAGCTTATATTTGCCCTCATTTATCGACCCTTTCCTACTTTTTTTTCTTTTCCTATCTCCTTCTAGATACACACCAGCGAGTTTCAAGTTTTCCTCATTCAACGATATCGTGAGAAAACTCACTTTTTTCTGTTAGTTTTTGCGGTTGCGGTTATCCAGATCCCAGGTACCTTGATCGAGTAAAGAAACAACTTGCTGACAAAGGCATTACATCATTAAACTTTTGCTTAGTTCAGAGGAACGTCACATGCTTTCAGTACTACCAAACTTGATTTGAGATATGACTTTAGATTGAAGACAAAGTTGTTGAATATTTTGCCTAGAGGGTGGGACAATGAAAGAAAACTGTCTACCATAAGGATTCGAATTTCTACCATTTCCGGTTTTGCAGCTGGTTTTTTTGCAAGCTTAGCTGAAGAGAAATGAATAAAGGGGGAAAGTTTCTAAAGAAACTGTGGTGCTGTGTCGATGGGAAAGTATAACAGGGTAATTAAGCATTATCAACCAAGTTGTTAACGTAAATCGACCTATATATGGGATTTCAAAGCTGACGTTTCGAGCGTTAGCACTTCGTCATAGCGAATGACGAAGGGCTAACTCTCGAAACCGTCAGCTTTTAAACCCTTACGGTGGTCAATTTACGTCATCAACTCAGTTGAAAATATTACATTACCATGTTAGCTTAGGAGAAGAAAAATGAGAAAAACAAGTGGTTAAATGTGACGTGTGACAGTGAAGAAATGTAAAATGTTTTCCGTGTTTACATAGCCTGATGTAAACACGCGGGAGGTTGGGAGAACGCGAGATAAGCGTAGGAAACCACTCCGCTTCGCGTTCTCCCAACCTCCCAAGTGTTTACATCAGGCTATGTAAACACGGAAAACATTTTACATTTCTTTTATAAAATAACTAATGAAAGAGCCTCTTCTTGCAACGAAGGAAAGCGACGTGTTTGTTGTTGTTGTTCATTTGGCTTTTCGGCCGTTTCTTGAATACTGGGAAAATTAAACTCCAAAGAAAAATTAGGAAAATCTTCTTCTTCCATTACTGTACTCAAAACAAACTTAAAGAAACTGAGTTACTGCTAAATAAATAGCAGGGAGAACTCCGCGAGAAAGTTCAGTATGAAAACCGTGTTTACATACGCTCATGTAAAATGGTTTTATGGCCAATCAGAGCGCGCGTACTATTTGAATTATTTTATAAAAAGACTTATCAACGTAAAGAGCGAAAGTATGTATTTTTCAGTTCACTTAGCTTCTTCACCAACGGTTTCTTGATTAGTCTGTTGTCAATTTTAATGGACGTACCGTGCTGGCATAGCAAACTTATTTGGCTGTTTTTTTTTTAATTACAGTAAACTGGAGTTTAAACCATAAACTGAATTGAAGGTTGAGTTTGTGCTTTGAGTCAGTACACTGCTCAGGGTTCCTTATGAACATGTTATGAGCCACCTTTTGTGAGCTTCTAATTGATTTATATTCGTTCTCTTTCTTGTGGTGTGCTATAGCAAACGGTAGAACTCTGAACTAAAACGAAACTCGAAACAACACAATTCAAATTACTAAGTAAAGTTATATTATATAAAAAGGCCTGATCCATTTTTACATAAAAGGAAACGTACAGAACAATCTGTGAAGGTCAACTGCGGCTTAAATCCTACTGCATATAAAATAGAGGTGTCCTAATTGTTTATAATGGATTCTTTCGATTGAAATGACGCCTAATGTCTTGCAAAAAAATATATTTAACATCCCGTGATTTTTGGTCGATCGTAAGGAGTACGCATGGACAGTCCAGTCCCTGAAATATTTTCCCCACATGGTTCCCGAAGGGAAATTGAGCTTGCATAGGCAGTTTCACTTAGAGTGTATTGGTATATCAGAACTGCATTTCACGACGGAGACACATAGTTTGCAGATTTTCCTTTCGGGAAAGATAACTGAATGTATATAATACAATCTTACCGCACCCAAAACACAAGAGGAAGTATAATTTCTGAAAATTCTGAAAAGGATCCCATTAGTGTGAGAGGCTGAAACACAATTGAAAACTATTCTTACCATCTGTAAACTAACTAATTCGTTAATTATAAAACGCCTTCTGGGACCAATCTGCTGCCCATGATCACTCCATGTGTCAAGCTAAGTAGGCCTGAGCACGAATATACATTCCCGTGTCAGACAATACCTTCGTTTTAGAAGCCATGGCTGCTCAGTGTCGAAGTTTCTTCGATGATGTCAAAAAAGAATTAGAATGTTGTGTTTGCCAAGAGCAATTTGACGAGAACAACGAGCCTAGAATACTCAAATGTCTCCATACTTTCTGTAAATCATGTCTGGAACGGTGGTTACGACAACAAGGTGGAAAGCAGTTGAGTTGTCCTACATGCCGTCAAATCACTGAATGTCCCAACAACAACATCAACAGCCTTCCATCAAATCTATTTTACAAGCAAATGGTGGGAATCGTTGAGGCTTACAGCGGAAACAGGCAAAAAGATTCGCCACAGTGTGGAAGCTGCGATGAAAGAAAGCCACTTAAGTTTTACTGCTCGGAGTGTAATTGCTTCCTCTGTGAAGAATGCTCAATGGCTCATAAAAAATTGAAAGTGTTTAGTGGCCACTACGTCAAAGAAATTGGAAATTTTGTGTCTAGCGACGCACAAGATTACTTTCGGAAACTGAACGTTTGTAAAGAACACAAAGATCAAGTTAGATTTTACTGCAATCAGTGTGTAACATGCATTTGTCGTGACTGCGCCATCTTGGAACACCGAGATCACAACTTTGTGTCCATTGACAAAGGACTGGACAGGAAGAGATCAGAAATCGAGACAAAAATGGGAAACGTTCTGGAAAATGGCTCTAGACTACGAAAGAAAAAAGAATTCTTAGAAGAACAACGGATGAGAATGAGCAAAAGCATCGAAAAAGCGAAAGACGAAGTGCATCGAGTCGCTAAACGCAACATAGCGTTAATTCGACAACACGAATCAAGCGTGACGGAACAACTCAACAAGCAGAGAGATGTTTTCGAAGCTGAATTTTTAAATGCTGTATTCCGAATGGACGAAAAACTTACTGATATAGGGAGCGGTTTGGAATTTTGCAACAACGTTCTTCGACGAAATAATCTGCCGGAGATCTTAAACGTGGAAGAAATACTTGAGCAACGGTTTAAGGAACTTTCTAAGCCTTCTGATGTAAACATGGAGTTAAATTATTTTGAAGTCAAGTATGTTCCAAACGATTTTTCGTCAGTGAAAGAATCACTAGGGAAGCTGTTTAAAACCAAAACGGTACCTTCCTTATCAGAGGCAGAGGGTAAAGGGCTGACCGAAGGCTCTCAAGGTGAAAACTGTACTTTTACAGTGATCGCGAAAGACTCACGTGGTAATAGAACGTACAGTGAAATAGATGAGGTCATTGTCGACATTAAATCGCCGAAGTCGGGAGCGGCCTTAAAGGTCAACATAAGAGACTCGCATGACGGCTGTTACGAAGTAACATACAGACCCGAAACTACTGGAGAATTCAACATGTCCATAACTATTGCGGGTGAAGCCATCAGAGGGAGTCCCTTTCGCATAAAAGTGGATAAAGGTAAACCATTTTCTTATGAGTCAGGTAATTTTTTCTTTAGATTTTTCTACCAGGAAATAGTGGAGAGAAGACCCTTCTGATTGGCCAAAATTCTCCATTAAGCGCTCGCATATGCAAAGGTTGCCGAAAGTTAAAACACCTCTCTATGATATCTTGAGCATGGCAACTGCATAAATTCCAGGGGAGGATAAAGTATGTTTGAGTGAATCGTCGGAAGAATCAAGAAAAACTGAGATGAAGGTTGATGGCCATTTATCAATAATAATGATGTGAAAGTGTGAGAAAAACTTGAAACGACTGCCTAAGTCTTGCACTTCGGCTATAAACAAGGATATTTTGATCTTTCTCAATAATCTGCGATAGAAAGGCAAGAGATAAGAAAATGTCCGATTCCTGCAAATCGGTCCTGCTTGTTCCAGTGGTTACGAATGAATGAAACAATAGGTGAGGACCTTGTCAAATCATATGCAACTCTGTTACTTACATTTGATATGCGCGTGGTTACGAGGAAAGGTTCTACTTCAAATGTAATAGGAGCAAAGATGTAACACTGTAGCTGAAGTTCGTGACTAAAATATATACGCTTGATCCGGCCCATACTTAGATGGGCCTTTCGGCCCATACCCTTAGCCTGCAATGCTAGCAATATTGTAAATCTCTTTACACTTTCAGGTCAAAAAGTAAAAGAATTCGTGCCATCAGCTATTGCAAAATGGTGCAATTCCTGTGGAGAGCAAAGACAATACTGTCATATTTTTTGTGGCGATTGCGGAAGAAGATTGCAGATACGTTAAAGTTTTCAGCATTCGTTGTGTGACAAAGATCTTATCTTACGCTGGAAAATTACGATCTCTGCAAATTTGGAAATTCTTGCCGGAGTAAACAGTGAGGATCAGAGAATAATTATGAACTAGCTCAAAGAGAGAGGAATCATCCTTGACGGAAAGGAGTCGGTCGTCGTATTGTAAAGTTAATTGAATATTATGTGCTAATGCAATTTTGGATTCTATAAGGAATGTCTCACTGATGATCTTATTTCTCGACTGTCTTTTATTTCTAAGGGAACCATTTGTTGCATAATTCTTGATTATGATACACTGATTTGGTCGTTCGCGTTCAGTTTGACTAGTATGGAGCCTCTTCGACTGGTGATAACTAAATGAATCCCCCTAAGATAATTTGAGAAAGTTCTCCTTCATAAGAATTTTGAATAAGAGTAGACGAAAAGACGAATTCGAGTGAGGCCTTAAACTACATAATTACTCAGACAATGCCTAATCAACGTTGAACTTGGGCCTCACTCGAATTCCAATGTTCTTCCCCTGACATGTTTCATACCTTTTCATGTGGACAGGGGAACAAAATTTATGGCAAATGCTTCTTGAAGGGATTTTGATTCCGAAGAATACCTGCTCAGAACAAAAATTATTGATCTTTAACCAAAGTTAGCTGTTAAATCTCGAGAGCTTAGGAATTAAACAATATGAAGGAAATTAAAAACCGGAGGATATAGATCTTTTAAGAGCAATAGTCTAACTTTCGAACTTTTAAAAAAAATCGCAGCCACTCAACCTCACCGATTTGCCTGAAATTTGGCATGAATGCTAATTTTAGGGTCCTAACCACGAAATGGGTATTAAAAAGTTCCAGTTGTTTTTGCTTTGCAAAAAAATCGATAAAGCCGACCAAGTCCGCCCATACTTTCCCGCCAACATGGCGTACCGAAGGTGTTCTTATGACTTCAACTCCAGTCCTGTCATGAAGATTTCCTAAAATCTCTTGAAATAAATAAACAGATCTACCCTTTTCTTAACATTTATTGGAAAAAATGTGGGAAATGACAGATTTTGATTACAGGTTATCTTAACGTTCGAAGGTCGCTTTGCGCTGCCTTGAACAGTAACAAATTTACCCCAACTTGTTAGCCTGATACCTCCAATGTTACCTCGATCCAGAATTCGAAGTTGCCATTTATTTGGAACAGTGTTTGTTTATGGATGAATCGATGCCATTAAAAATATGGGGGAAATTTAAAGGTCAAAGGAGGAAATTATTAATCTATGATGACTTAGCTATATTTGGGACCAGCTCTTAAATCAGCTTACCGGTCAGAATTTAAGTCCAAGTACTTATTTCGTCCAAAATGAAGGTAAATTCCAGAAGTTTTCCTAATATTATGGAAGTACCTGTTGATTTTGGGAAAAAGTAATTATGTCTGGGCGACATTGTCGCAATGGGATAAATATTTGGTTACCCAATGAATGTAAACAATCGATCCGGTATTAACGTTCGGAAGGGTTGATTTCGCTTGCCGTTTTGAGAACGAAAAATTTCGAAAAAGAAAAGATTCTTGTGAATTCCAACCTAGTTTATTTGGTGGTGATTGGTGACTTGCTCAAAATGTGAGCCTGTAAACTATATTTGCAGTTGATCCTCCTTGTCACGCCAACAGTTTAGATATCCTTCGTTAGATATTACGTAAATTACAACATGTTTTTGAACAGGTCTTAATTTCGTTTTTCGTATGTTTCAATTTTCTTATCAGTATAAAGGAAACCCAACCTTTCAGGATACTTCCTTGCAATTTTTTGCACCAACGGTGAGCGCAAAATGCACCCATGAAGCGCCTTCATTAAGGGCACAGACATGAATTGAGTGTTGTTCAGAGATAAACATCACCTCGTTGGAGTGCGCTCGCAGTCACTAATCAGAGTTTGCTCTAAGATCTATTTTGCTTTGAGAGGCTGTTCGTGAAAGATATTTTTTAAACTTTTTTCGATGGCTGTAAACAAGCTTAACGCCTAATCTATTTGGAAAACGAAAAAATGAATTCGAATTGAATCCTTGTTCATCACTGAACTGTCGGTTGTAGCGAAAACGGAAGTTAAGACCCAAGACCTAAGAAACCATGTTTCTTTAACCATCTAGAAAGACTTGACATTTCCGGTTCAAATTCCCCACTCCAGCCACGTAAAGTTCAAATTTCCCATTCCCCAGGCACGTAAGGTTCAAATTTCCTATTCCCCAGGCACGGACGACAGTAAAATACCCGTGAGTGGCCCGAGTTTTCCTTTTTCAAAAAAAAAATTAACTTGGGTAGGGCATTCGAACATAATTTTGGCCTCGGGGGTTGGAATTTGAAAAACTGATTTTCAAGAGTTTAATTTCCACGGGGGAGGGAAGTTAAAGTTTCGAATTGATCGATGCACAAGCACGAAATTTGTCTTAGTCCCTACTCTAGCCCACAGTAATTGAATTTCACTTCTCAAAGATGCATCAACGACGTGTAAGCCCCATAAATGAGGCTTTATGTCTCGAGTACATTGTAAAAGGGATGTGTACTTGCTCGACTGCATGGTATGTCCGAAACTATTCTCAGCAAACCTCGTGGATCTGCTCTTGCCCAACATTATTCTAGAGCATTCTCTTCATGCAAAGAACTCGAAAAAAATGAAGTAAAAAAGGAAGTTAATCACTGACATAATAAGTTTGGCTTTCTGTTAAAAACGAGAACTTTTCCAATATTTTACCTCAATGAAACCAACATATCAGTGTTCGCTACAAAATAAAAACAAATTTCAATTTTTGGACTTTTTGTGGGCAAAAGTGTCAAAGAATTATGAAGGAGAGTAAAATGATAAAAAACACTAACCCTATCTTAACAGGATCCTCAAAAGAAAGCAATAAATTTCCACTTTTAGACTCAAGAATAAGTTTGATTGCTTGTGCATTCTCACAAGTTCAAGATGATGTCTATCTCAAACCACATTCCGTTTCAAGTGTGTGGCCACTGCCAGAGTGTATTACGTTGGTATTTAAGGCTTACTTTGTATATAAATGAAAATTACGCTGACGGACTTGCCAAAGGCTGGAGTTGTTCTTATGCTGCAACGTTGAGGAAATGGTCAACTGACTCCTGTTGGAAAACATGATAAATTTGCATGTCATCTACGAAACCAATAGTAAAAAAAAATCCCGTGATTTTTGGTCGGTCGTAAGGAGTACGCTTTGAAAGTCCAGTCCCTGAAATATTTTTCCCCCACGTGGATCCGGAAGGGAAATTGAGCTTAGGCAGAGTGTTACTAAGAGTACATTGGTATTACAGAACTGCATTTCACGAAGGGCACACATAGTTTGCAGATTATCTTTTCTGAAAGGTTAACTGAATGCTTTTAACACAATCTAACTAGAGAAAGTACAATCTCCGAGAATTCTAAAAAGGATCCCGTTAATGAGAGAGGCTAAAACACAATTGGAAACTATATCCGTGCCACCTATAAACTAATTAATTAGTTAATTTTAAAAAGCCCTGTAAGCCCTCCAAGATCAATCTGCTTTCCATGATCCCTCCACATGTTAAGCCAAGGTGGCCTGGTCACGATATACATTTCCGCGTCGGACTATACCTTCGTTCTAGTAGCCATGGCTGCTCAGTGTCGAAGTTTCTTCGATGATGTCAAAAAAGAATTATAATGTTGTGTTTGCCAAGAACAATTTGCCGAGAACAACGAGCCCAAAATACTCAAATGTCTCCATACTTTCTTTAAATCATGTCTGGAACGGTGGTTACGACAGCAAGGTGGAAGGCAGTTGAGTTGTCCTACATGCCGTCAAATCACCGAATGTCCCAACAACAACATCAACATCCTTCCATCAAATCTATTTTACAAGCAGATGGCGGGAATTGTCGAGGCTTACCGTGGAAGGGACGAGAAAACTCGCCACAGTGCGGAAACTGCGACCAACGAAGGTCGCTGAAGTTTTATTGCTCGGATTGCAATTGTTTCCTCTGTGAAGAATGCTCCATGGCTCATAAAAATTGAAAGTGCTTAGTGGCCATCACGTCAAAGAAATTGGAAATTTTGTGTCTAGCGACGCACAAGATTACGCTCGGAAACTGAACGTTTGTAAAGAACACAAAGATCAAGTTAGATTTTACTGCGATCAGTGCGTAACATGCATTTGTCGTGACTGCGCGATCTTGGAACACCGAGATCACAACTTCGTGTCCATTGACAAAGGACTGGACAAGAAGAGATCAGAAATCGAGGCCAAAATGGGAGACATTCTGGCAAATGGCTCTAAACTACGAAAGGAAAAAGAATTCCTAAAAGCACAAAGGGTGAGAATGAGCAAAAGCATCGAAAAAGCGAAAGACGAAGTGCATCGAGTCGCTGAACGCAACATAGCGTTAATTCGACAGCACGAATCAAGCGTCACGGAACAACTCATCAGCCAAAAAGATGTTTTTGAAACTGAATTTTCAAATGCTGTATTCCGAATGGACGAAAGACTGACGGAAATAGAGAGCGGTTTGGAATTTTGCAACGACATACTTCGACGAAATAATCTACCGGAGATCTTAAACGTGGAAGAAAAACTTGAGTAACGGTTTAAGGAACTTTCTAAGCCTTCTGATGTAAACATGAAACCAAATTGCTCCGAAGTCAAGTATGTCTCAAATGATTTGTTTTCCTTGAAAGAATCTCCAGGGAAAGTGATGACAACCAAAACTGTACCTTCGTTAGCAGAGGCAGAGGGTGCGGGACTCACCGAAGGAACTCAAGGCGAAGATTGTGAGTTTGCAGTCATCACTAAAGACTCACATGGTAGTATAACTTACAGCGAAATAGATGAAATCCTTGTTGACATTACATCACTGCAGACGGGAACAGCCCTACAGGTCAACGTAACAGACTCAAACAATGGCTGCTACACAGTATCATACAAACCTGAAACTGCTGGAGATTTCAACGTGTCTGTGCGCGTTGCAGATGAACCTATCAAAGGAAGTCCGTTCCAGTTTAAAGTGGAAAAAAAAAATACGAAAACTGAAAGGTATTCGCTAATAGAGTTATTATTCATCGATCGATTGATTTATTGAATGATCGATTAGTTCATTATCTCCCCTTTCACTCATTTATTTACTTATTTATTTCTCAGTTTACTTATTGACATTACTTTCACTCTGTTATCCTTAGTTAGAATGATAACTGCACACAGATTTGCGTAAATTTGCAACTGCTTCAATTACCAAAACTTCACTAACTCTGATTTCTGAAGTGGCAACATGCATTTGATGATTTATTCAGACTTTAATCTGCCTCTTACAAATTTCAGATCACCAGCCGTTCGGCCTGATCGAGGAGGGAAAAACCTGCCAAGTCTGCTTTTATAATGTTGTTCCACTTTTCCAGTTACAGTGTGGACATTACAGATATTGCAAGGGATGTAAAGAGAAGCTAATCGGCGAAGATGATACCTTCTGCTATATTTGCAGACGAAAAGTTTTATTCCTTGGAAGTCAACCGACCGGACATATGACCTGTAGGAGAGACTCAGGACCCTCTCTCCCAGGGTACGAAGCCTTTGAAACCATAGTGCTTGGCTTTAACTTCGACAGAGGAATCCAAGGTACGTTAAGTGACTATGAATGATTTTTCTATTGCTGAAGACAGGATTTAACCTCTGTAGAACACGATAGTCAAACCGCTTGACTCGAGCCAATTTTTCAAAACTATTCAGCCAAACTTTATTTGCAAAGACAGACTAAAAGTATCATGATTCATTATAGCCGTTTAATTTCTACAAAATATAAAGTACACTCATGCCACCGTAAGATTATTGAAAATATTTTGATTACCTGTTTGTTTCATTATATCTTCATTTAGTTGTTTATATATCTATTAATCTATTCATTGATTTTTCGTGTATTCTTTTGCTAAGAAAAAGAAATGGAGCTAATTTGTTTAGCTGTATGAAATTTTTATTGCAGGTGAAGAGCACCCAAATCCTGGGGTTCCTTATTTGGGTTTATTCTGCTTAGCATATCTGCCAAGAAACCAAGAGGGGCAAACATTGTGTGAACTGCTGAGGAGAGCGTTTGATGCACGACTGTTATTTACCATCGGAGCAGACAACTCCATCCTGTTTAATGACATTGAACTGAAAACAAGTCGCAGTGGTGGCCCATTTAAGTGAGTCTAAGTCTAAGATGCCTTTGTTTGTTTCTTTATAAACGAATGTCGATTGATGACTCAACTTTGTTTCGTTATTTGTCTGGTTACTTTAGAGAAGCGCAGAAGGAAACAATTGAAAAAAACCGATTATTTTTATCTTCGATACTTTTTTGCTAGATTTAATCCAATACCTTTTTCCCTCGTCGATTGAATACTCTTAGTACAGCTGCTATGTGGAGTGCCACCATTTAGCACCAATACTTCCTCTTCATAGAGCACTAGTCTGAAAAGCAAACTGCAAAGTATATGCAACAAATCTGTTCGGTAGATGAAAATCATCTGCTTTACTAATAGTGCATCCAGAGGTCAAAGACGGTCCTTTTTGTTTCCATTTCTTTAGGTGCGGTTATCCCGACTCAGGATATCTTGATCGACTGAAGAATCAGTTGGCATTGAAGGGTGTAAAATAATGAAAGCCACTGAACTGAACAGGCCACTTCACGAAACTCCTCATGAGATCGGAGAGGGTAACTAGAATGGAAATAAGAATGGTTCAATCGGAGGAGATCAAAACTGATTTAGCGCCAGTCACGAACTTTAAATACGATCAAGCGTTAATGATTCAGATACATCGATTGTGACGTGGTTTTTCCCAATTATGCCTCTACACAAAATCAACCGACTATTCGTATTTCTTACCATTCTGCATGCTAAATAATAGTTCTATAATGCTTCAACGAAAATTTTGCATTTGCTGGAGTAAGGATGAGTTCTTCTGCAAATAATTAAACACGGCTTCATTTTTAAAACATTTAAAAATGCCAAAATAATCGACCAGAGAACATGATCTCTATAGTAGGATTATATATCATAAAAGGTCGAACCGAGATTCAAATAGTTGAAGCTAGAATAATATTTGACGATGATTTTACATACATCGGTCATGCATGCAATGTATTTCAGTCCTTGCACTCATATCGTGTAGTTCAATCTGGCTAAGATTGGGGTGGCTCATAAGAGTGAACTGAACTGGTACTTTGATTACGTAAAGCTACCCATGCCAGAACTTTATTACTATGTATCACCCATATGATATCCTATACAAACGCAAATGAGCCTATTGCAAGTAGAATAAGAAAGATTATAAGTTTTGAGTTTGGTAAAGAAATAGAGAAAGATGTTTTATCGTCTTGTCACGAGCATGCGACAAAGAAAAACTCCCGAGTCCCCACGGGGAATCAGACCTTAGACCGTGGATTCTGCGCTCTGATGCTCTGCCACTTAGCCACAGAGACTCCATGGTGAACAAGGCCCATTACGAAGTTCAAATATGACACGTGTCCTGTATACTGGTGGGACCAGCGCTGGCTTTAGCGTCATGTTTTGTAAGTAGATTAAGAAAGATGGAGGGACTCAGAATTTTTTCTTTGTCACACTCGTGACAAGACGAAAAAAATATCTTTCTCTAGTGTAGTCTTACATACTATTTCAATAAATCTAATACATAGCTTTCATGGACTGCTGGAGTCAATCCACTTTGTCTGCTAGCGCTGAAGGTAGTTACTATTCCGTCACAAAATTTTGAGTTTCCTTGCTACTTAGAAAGCCATTCGTATTAGTCATACCCCACATTCCTCAGTTGCTTTTAAGCTTTAAAAAGGCCACGCGAAAAGTGGAATTTTTTATTTGCAGTATGCTCTCATCGAAACTATCAAAAATTATTGCAACTGTTTCACATCTAGTGATCTCCCTTGCCTAAGTCTGATTAAAATAAGCAAGTTATAAAGACGACATCCTTCCATAGAAATCAGGAAGCGTGGAAACTGCGGTAAGAAATGCGGGGAAAGTGTTTGGGAGGCTCAGCTGCCCGTAAATAAAATAATTTCTGTGTTAAATTCCGAGGGAAGAAACTATAGATTCTGAGTGGCAAAGGCCTGGATCTTGGCCTCTTTAACAACTGAACGTTATGTTGTCTAGTGTCTGCTCAGATATAGATGACAGATTACATAAAAATGTCAGTAGGACTCGGAAAAAGATCACAAACAGGTACGTCTGAGTTTCTTTGAAAATAAAAATTTGGGTTTAACTGTTCATGAGTTCATAGCAGGTACGAACGGACATTTCGCACCCAATGTTTACGTCCCTATTCCAACTTTTGACGATTTTTCCGGTTTTCAAAAAGCTCCTCAGCAAATAACAAATTGCAATCCTTAGTTTGTAAATTGAACAGTGCTTGATCAATCCAGATTGATCGAGAAACGTGTTTGTCGCCAGTTGCTGATGTAAAATCCTTTTGAACTCAGAATGCACACTCACATGTTAACCTATATGCGACGTATAGGATTGATTGACGTGCTCTCAACCGTGCAGTGGACACAGAACGTTCTGACTGTGTATTGATAGTGCCATAGTCTGTTTAAAAAAAAAAAGGGACATTTTTTCATGCGTAAGCTCTGTGGAGGTTTCTGTAAAGTGATTGGTGAGAACCATGTGCGTCTTATGGTCGGCGGACCCTATTCTGAGGAATGCATTGCAGACAGTATAAGATCTAAGGAGACAATCAGAAACACCTCCCGAGACATGTGGGTATTGCTGCCAAATACGAATTAGTCGACTGAAAATTATTCATAAGATTACGTTAGATTGTTTGAAATTGAACCAAACAAAACACTTTCATGTGACCAATAAGTGTAAAGAAATGTAGAAATTCATGCCTATTAACCTGTGATTAATCGTCTGGCGCTCATGGCAATATACAAAAATAAAAAAATGTTCATCGTGGCCAACCTTTATGTTCCTATCTATAATTGCAGTTTGAATGATCTGGTTCATATACGAGAGCTCTAAAACTATACAACATTAACATGCTTGGTAACATAACTGCGATAACACTTAAAGTATCCCGCAACACAAATTTTTGATCGATATTTACACTGATCAAAACTTATCACTCATCCACTCAAATTATTGACGGTGAAAGGTTATTTCTCTGAATCTGGTTCCAAGGTAACGCACTAAACAGCTGTGCAGGCTAGACTAGCGATGTGTTTACGTCAATTACAATATTAATAACTTCAACGCTCCGTCCAAAAGGAAAGTGCATGAAAAAAATCCGCTGCACAGGAAATGCGCCCACGCTCAAGTACGAGCGCGCGTTAGTTTTCAACTCTAATTAAGTTACTTCTACTTAATTTTGGAAAATAGTGTAAACATTTTACAGCTCGTCGATTTTCGCAGCAAGAGGTTCACATACTGATTCCGCTGAATCTAAGAGACCTGTCATCGTTGGGGCATCGGGTATCTATAAAATTGAATTGAACGGAAGAAGAACTGACAGTAAAGGAAACCCACTCAATAACTGTAACCACGATGCGAGAGAAGGCGATACTTTACCTCCACGGTCCAATCGATCTCTGTTTTGAAAAACAGTCAATTTTGTTAAGTATTGCTAAGTGGATACTTGACCATCAGTTGTAAGGTACGTAGATTGTCTTTTATGTGACGAACAGTCCTACGGTACCAAATAACTTAAGTATGGCATTTGAGCTGAGAAGTTGTTTGACTGAGGGGATAATGCAGCTCTTCAAGATGTTATCATTAGGGTGTCACTGGTTCAATCAAGCAAGAAAAGAAAAAGGCAAAAAGTACTGGTTGTAACTTCACGATAAATGTTGAGAAATTAAAATAGTTATTGGCAGAACCACACGGAGATTTGGAAACAAAGGATTCACGCTGTTATAATGAAGACACCCCTGCAAGACTCATCAAGCACTGAAAAATGCTCTGTGATAGGTTTTTTTTTCCGACTTTTATAACGTCCAAAAAAATTTTTAATTCTTAACCACTCAAAACTAGCTGTCACTAAATAAAGTGTAATTAGAGCGTAATGTAAAAAAAAAATTTAACTAGGAAATAATGATAAGTGCAGTAAAGAAACTATGGATGAAACGATAATGCTGTTTTTGCTAGGTTAGATTGTATTCAATAATTCTAAAACATATTTCCCTATACCTTAAATGCAATCTGGAACAATATTGCATTTAACGCATAATGAGAAACTTGAAAAGAGTTGACAATGTTTCCACTACAAACGCTCTCCAACAGGACTGAAAAACCAACACCGAATTTTTTCTCACTGCAAAACCTTGAAGACTTGGTCATGTTGAAAGAGCTTAAAAGTACTTCGGAGCCACTTGTAGATCATCGTTTTCAAGACACCTTCACCTTTTAATATTGGCGATAAATATAAACATGAAAGATGTTTCTATTTAAGTGTTACAACAAATTTTCGTTATAAGGCTACCGTTTTGTAAAAAGGCCTTGTAAAGTACTTGTGGAGAGATACACTATTTCCATAAGGGCTTTGGCATATCTCGGCAAGTATTTGCAATAACTTAAATTTCGCTAAAATATATACAGATCATGCACATGTTTGTGTTGACAGCACAGGAAAATCTCAGATAAAAAGAAAACCAATTGCACGATCAATCCAATGAACTAATGAGATTCTTCACAAATTCAATCACCCTTATGTCACCAATGATACCCATGTGGTCTGCATTTGAAAATGACTTAGTAACTACTTTCTGTTTCTGTTTACCCACAAAGCTCTGACAAGCCTTTAGGCTGCGAATGTTTACAGTCCCATCTCCATCTCCAAACAATGTCTTAGGAAATGTATCAGGAAACTCATCTGCTCCATAAACAAACTTTTCAGGTGTTGGTACTCCTGTGCCATACAGGCAATACAAAGGTACATTGGGTGGGTCATTGATCCAGACAGGTGGAACCTGTCGACTTATGTTAATGGCATCTGGATAGTGAATGTCATGAAAAAATTTCTCTAAGTTTCCTAATGAGTAGTTTAGATTGGCTGTTTGAACAATGACCTGTGGAGGAAAGACAAGGATGTAAAGAGCAGTAATTTTATGCACAAGAGAGTCACACATAGAATGTTGCAATTTTCATGACACATCAATGTAACACTCGGTGAAAGTGAATGATGACATTTTTTCAGTCTGCAATACAGGCAGAGTTGGTTCTCGAACAAAAAAGAAAACACAATTTTGAGTATTCTGAACAGGTTCTGAACCCAAAGGTGACCTTCCAACTTGATACTAAAATCAGATGCTGTTAAATAAATGAAACTTGGAACTAAAGGCAGGAAGAAAGGTAACAGTGAAACTCAAGTTAAGAGCACTGTGAATTGCCTGTACTGTGTCACTGAAAAACATCTCTCACTTCCATGAAATTACATTTACAAAGCCCCACCAAACTATTTAGAGCTTCTACATACTCTAAAAGAGTAAATTTTCCTTGACAGTAATGTCTACAACTACTAAACAAACACAAGTTTGGAGGAAAAAGGTGACAAAAGAGATGAATTAATTTACAATCACTTTCTCTGTAATTCTCTATTTGTCCCATTGGATATTTTCAATTTCTCACACACAGTCTTCCTGGGCACCTTGTGAAGGGTTTTCATGGTAAAACGTAGGAGTTTAGTGCCTAGTAACAGTAGAATGTTCTCCTTCCCATTGGCCACTGAACTGTCTGTGCTGTGTGGCTTGCATAAGAGATGCTTTCCCCAATCCGCAAGAATGTTTGCATATATGCAAAAAAGTCAGGAATTTTATCTTTTATCTTGATTTCTGAGTTTAAATTTGACATACATCGATTGCTTTTTTCTTTGAAAATAAGTTACTTAAATGGCCTACTTTCATTAGAGCTTGTTTATTGGAGAAGATGACTAATGAAAATTTAATGTGCATTCTGTTTGCTTTCCCGGTTTCTCCAAAGTTCTAACTTATGCATATGAATGCTTTCACTGAGAGAATAATGGGTTGATAAAAATAGCACAGGCCAATCCAAATTTAGTGAGATAATTCTACTTGATTTGTGGTTTGTTCCCTTAAGCTCTGATGCCCAGTGGATCACCTGGATGCTCAATTAGACTTTATCACAGTAATGCCTGATAACAAAGATACCAGTTATTTTGTCATTAATGGCAAGCTGCAGTTTAAATAACTTGTACCAACTCTGCACTCACCTCCTCTGCAGACCAAAAATCTTTACTGGGCATCAAAAATGCAGAGCTCTCATAGGTTCGTAAAACTGGCCTGAGGTTCAGTGGCTCAAGAACAACATCTGGAAAACCAAGGTTGGTTCCTGAAGCATATATACGCATTAGCTTGGCTGAACCAGCCCATGCCCCAGCAATAGTTACCCAAGCCCTTATGTGTGTGTCCTTCCATTCCTGAGACATGTTGTAGAGAAAGTGATGAGTATACGGACATCCCAAGCTGTGAGACAGCAAAACAATTTGTGTCTTATTGTTTTTTAAGTATGTGTCTTCTATTAGAGCTTTCAAGTTGGCAAAGTATTCCAGAGCAGAATCTGAAATAAATTGTTCAATCAAGAAGTTAATGAGAGGCTGGAAACTTAAAAATTTAGGTGTTCAGGTCAAGATGAAAAATACATTTGTCATATGCTTAGTTCAATAATTTGAATTTGTTAATAATGATAATAAGAAAGGCCACTAGTGTCCTTTAATTCTTGATATGACTGATAAATAATTCTCCCATTCTCCTGCTGCACTCTATCTAGTAGGTACTTAAACATTGGGTAACATACAGGGCCTGGTGGTTTAAAGGTGGGTTACAATAACCCAGGGTTAATGTGACATCTGATTTCAGATCTAATAGAGCATTTAGAATTTGATTATTGGATGTTCTAGAAAGAAAATATAGAAAATTATCTCCAAAAGGCTTTTGAACAAATTAATAAAGAAACCTGGATAAACATTTAACCTAAGGTTAGTGCTAAACAACATTTGAACAACAGGGTCTGATGTATTTCACTAAATCGACTTTCCTGTATTCTATAAGTCAAACTCCTGTACATGGCAAAAGTCAGTGGCTAGGAAAAACCACAGCAACCAATGAATGTAATCAATTAAACATTGTTTTGTACTGTTAAAAGAACAGAGCTTGCAGTTTTCTCAAGATACAGCAACTGATATACAAGACAGCAATTTACTGTAGAAACTATGATTTGAGCACAGGGGTGTTGTTCACTGAAACTGTGTTAGAGAGTATTGGTTCATCAAATAAGTTAGAATAATTAAGTAATAATCACATAAGTTTCAAAGTCAGTGTACTTACTTGGTGCATATCTGAAGTCAAATGGTGCAGCTCGCAGTGATATATTCTCCTCAAATCCAATGTTTTCCAGAGCAGCCACCATTTCAGCAAAATACTCTCCTGGATGATACAGAGAAGGATCCAAATAGGAAACACCTTTGGTTGTTCCAAAATATGGAACTTTTACCTCAACTCCAGGTGCATTGCCCATCCTTTGAGATGTTTCATTAAAGGCAAGCCTTAAGGAAAATAAGTCAACATAACTGTGTGACTCTTGGAAAGTCAGCACAAGTATAGATACAGGCATAAATTAAAAAACTTTTGGGTCACTGTCTTGAATTTCTGCTATGTTTTTTCATGTACATTATTAACAAGTAATAACATGATTGCAATTTGGTATGAGTAAGCACTTATAAATATTTTAAAGACTACAAACTGCACTTACCCTATGGGCTCATGCACTTTTGTTGTCTTTGAAAAATTTGCTTTTGCTTAAAAACACCAAATTGCACTCAAAAATCATGTTGACTACACATTGCACTTGCCCTATAGGCTCATGCAGTTTTGTTGTCTTCAAAAAATTTGCTTGTGCTTATAAACACCACATTGCACTTGAATCATATTGTTACCCAAAAGGAGCACTTCTGTTGCCTGTATAAGGCTAGAACAGCTTAAAGTTTCATTTATTATCTTTTTACAGTTAAAGATAAATATTCTATATTTTCAATAGATCCATTGCTGTAATGTTATTCTTACCACCCATAACAACCTGATTGTTTATTACTTGCACCATGCTAAGTGGGGTCTAACAGTGAATTGCCACTGTTAAATAACTAAATCTGGATCAAGCATATCGTTGGTATTAAGTTGAAAATAGCAAGAGTTTGGTGTAAGCTTAGTACAGGTTTCATTGTGTAACTTTAACAGATGATCAAGAGTTGCTGTTGTACCTACAATTAAATCTAAATAGTCAACCTATCAGAAGTTTGGGACAAAAAAAACTGAGTGCCTTTAAGGAATAAAACCAATTTTTTTGGATTCCATGCTCTTATACTATATCATTAAGAGAAGGGAACTCAGCGGTGAGCAAGGCAACCACCAGGTACACATGAGATGTGTGTTACAAACAGCAGGGATCATCTATGTCACAAGTGTCATATGAATAAATAGCATTACAAAAGTGGTACATTTTGAACTCAGCACTGGATTAAAAAATTTATCTTGGTTTTTCGTGACAGATGTTGAAATATATTTGGTGAAATCTCACATGTTAGCCCAGCACGTGAAAGAAGTGAATAAAGCTTACCTTATGTTGTCTGCCCAACATCCAATAGCTCCTGGCAACATTGACTCTATGCTAAGCCACAAGTCAAACCAGGAACTTGAAGTTTTTTCACACCACAAGTGTGGTACTGTTGACTTGTTAATACGGGCCTGGAGTTGACTACCTCCATCTCCTGGAACTGCATAATAAACAAGAAGTCCAGGATGATTATACTTGTAAAACCGAGATGCCGTTAGCAGTGCTAGCTCCTCACCTCATGAGAAATCATCAATAGTCATTGGTGACTGATGAAAAAATACACTTGAATGAAATTGTTGGAGTGGGTTGTTCAATTCAAGGTTTACTTTGCAACAGATAGCATGGCCAGAAAAAGAATTATACAGCAATATGTAATTAAGTAAATTAAAAGTCAATTCATGATCAATTCAATGTGATTGACATACAGATGTGCAGTGCAGACTGGTATGATTTTAGAAAAATTTAATAGTTATAAAACCAATAAACAGGTGCGATGTAAACACACTACGTGTGAGACCAAACCAACAAAATTCGATAATTTTAAAAAACAAGATGATGGTGATAATGCTGTTAACACTTCACCTGTTACAATTTCTACAGCATAAAATGGCAAAATAGAAAATTATATCCAAATGTATTGTAAAACACACGAGAATGTTATCTGCAAAGCAATATGAATTAGAACACTTGAATAACTCCAT